TTTGAGATTTAATCATTTCAGAGTATTTATAACAACAATCAAAAGGCCATTGTATTTATATTATTGCTCATTTAAGATTTAATAATACTGTAATAATACTGTATCCTATTCTTTTTTGTCGCCCAGTGTTATTATGACCAATAATTATTGTAATAAAATGAAAACCTTAAGTTTCTATATTATTTATTATCTTCCAAAAATAATACGGCTAAAAAAAGTAGGGACTAGGATTAAATCACTGATTTTGAATAGCTCTCAACTCACTCGCGATCGAAACCTATTTCGATCTGCGAAGTATTACTAGTTAAATTATACCGCTCTCGTAGTGATTCGATACTTTAAGGATTCAATCCCAAAAGTATCAAAACACTTCTACTCTTTTAAAGATTAAATACCTAAAAGATTTATATTCTAAATGATAACCATAGTTTAGCTACTTTTGAGATTTAATCATTTCAGAGTATTTATAACAACAATCAAAAGGCCATTGTATTTATATTATTGCTCATTTAAGATTTAATCCTTTTTGGAACCCAGTGATTAAATCAGATTATTTCCCTCATTATAATATGAACCAATCAAAAGCATTGAATTTTCGAATAAATTTTGTTTAAATAAGCGATTAAATCACTAGACCTATTTAACAGCGATTAAATTTTAGCCTCCATATTGGATTTATGTTTACGATTTTGTGGTGTTATTTACAACTTTTAACAAACATTTTTTAAAAAACAATAAAAAATAAGTTATCTAGTTTACAAAATATCAATTATTACTTATTACATACCTTAAATTAATGGAATTTTCTTTAAAAAAATATTTATAAATTTTGACACATACGTCAGATTTTATGAATTGTTAAATAGTTTCCTTTAATTCGAGAAATAATCTAGACGTATATCACTCAACCTATAAATTTAATCTGTCAAACTATGCTCAGTAAGTTTTTTATTTGATTTGTTTTTTTGGAAAATAGTTTCATGCAAAATAATTAAAAATAAAACCCCTCGACCGCTACGCGGTCTCGTGATTTTATTAAATTATTTTGCATTCAACATTTTCCAACAAAAACCAAACTAAAAACTACTGAGCCTAGTTTAACCGATTAAATTCATAGTTCTCGTGATATAATATATGAGTAAAATTATCAAATGATATAATTAATTAAATAATGGTAATTTATTAATACTGGTTATTTAATAGGGCTAAAAATTTATATTTATTAAATAAATTTAAATTTTTAGTCCTATTAAATTAATAAATTGTAAAATTATATTAAATTAATTTTATAATTTAAAAATAATATTAATATTGTTAATTTTTAAAATTATTTTATTGATATATGGTATATATTTATTTAGCAAATTTTATAAAAAAATGGTATTTATAATAACATTAATAATGTTACATTATACATTACATTTCTCTATGATTAAACTATATTAATATTATAGTAATAATCATTACAAAAATAACAATAGATAGGTATCATTAAAATGATTTTATAATAACAATTTAAAAACAAAATAATTGCCACCCTATTTATTAATTTTATTATTGCAAATAAACCTAGCAAGATGGGTATCTATAAAAAGGTCTTAATAATTACAATTTAAAAAATTATAATAATTACCCCCTTCTTCCCCGATAATTTATTAAACTTTTTTTCTGAAGAATTAACGTGGTAAGATGGGTATCTATGAAATGGTGTTAAAAATTACAATTTAAAAAAATATATTAATTACCCCCCTTCTGTCCCCTAATTTATTACATTTTTATATAGCAAAGTTAACATAGCATGATGGGTAGGTATCTATAAAAAGGTCTTAATAATTACAATTTAAAAAATTATATTAATGACCCCCTCCTTCCCCCCTTTTTTATTAAACTTTTATTTTGAAGAATTAACGTGGCAAGATTGGTATCTATGAAATGGTGTTATAAATTACAATTAAAAAATTTATAACTCCCCCCCCCCTTCTGCCCCCTAATTTATTACATTTTCATATTCCAATGTTAACATGGCATGATGGGTATCTATAAAAAGGTCTTAAAAATTACAATTTAAAAAATGATATTAACTACCTTCTGCCCCCTAACAACACCTTTTTATAGATACCCATCTTGCCATGATAATTTTGCAATACAAAATTTTTAAGAATTAGGGGGAGGGAGGGGGTAATTAATAATATTTTTTAAATTGTAATTATAATATATTTTTTTAATAGGGGGGCAGGCAGGGGGTTATTTATTTTTTTTAATTGAAAATTTTGAGACATTTTTATAGATATTCATCTTGACATGTTTATTTTGAAATATACAAACCTAATAAACTGGGGGGAAGAGAGGGGGTAAATAATATAATTTTTTTTAATTGCAATATAATATATCAACACCTTTTTATAGATACCCATCTTGATATGTTAATTTTTAAATATAAAATTTATTAAAATTAGGGGGATGGAGGGGGTAATTAATATATTTTTTTTATTGCAATTATCAAGACCTTTTTATAGATACCTATCTTGACATTAATTTTGAAATATAGAAACTTATTAAATTGGGTGAAAGAGAGGGGGAAAATAATAAAAAAAAATTAATTGCAATTATCAAGACCTTTTTATAGATATAAAAATATCGAAAAATCTATAAAAATGTTTTACTAAAAAGTTAATAATAATCAATAATTATTAATAATAAGTAATTATTAATTACCAATTATAATTGGTAATTAATAATAACTTTTTAGTAAAAAAAATGAAGCCCAAGCCCAAGCGTAAACTTAAGTTTTAAGTTAAAACTCTTAAAAAGATTAAATCCTTACCGATCTCGTTGGGATTTAATCCCAATATGATCTGGTATGATTTAATCACTAAAGTATCAAAACTTTCTATACATCGGAGAATATAACTCGTGAGCAGATCGAAATTATTTTAAGGCGTTTAAATATCGCTCAGATTAAATCTCGCTGCCGTCTCGACTGTTCGCATCACCGATTGATTCAAACTGGTTTGACCGAATTTAACTTGCTCAGGGATCGAAACTAAAAATGAGTTTAAATACTACTCCTAGTCCCTGAAAAAAAGTCAACCTATTTTTAAACAAGACTTTTTTTTGACGCACTAAATCAGATTATGTTCAAAGTATGTTGCAAACTCATAATTTTCAACTAATGATTTCTCAGAGAGGAATAATACATTGGAAGAATCAAAAATAAATTTTATCTACACCTACTGGAGTAAGAAACAGTTGCTTTTAAGCTTTTTAGTCCTGGGCTTTATTATATGTTAGGAAAAAGTGAGTTTAATTCGGTTGACAGTTGACAGATATAAAATTTTTAACAAATAAAATTGGCTTTAAATTCTGTTTTGTGTTCGTCGTAGATAAAGTATAGTATACAACTCACTTGCTCGCAAGCTTTGCTCTTGCTTAATTAAACTCGTAATTAAAATTGGGGTTTATAAAACTTGATACATAATATATTATTAGAGGGATGCATCCGGATGTTGTGATGAATTATCTTTTAACATAATCTTAAACACTGTCTTATATGACCTGAGTTTCGACGGGCGACCCGGTGAAATGAACTACTCACGTTTGTTTTGTTCTTTGTTAACAGTTCTATTGTCAACTTTACTAATTACAAACAAAATAAGAGAACATAATGGTAATATCGTGCAAAATTTTATCTAGTAAAAACAGTGTTAGTCTGCTTCACCCTGCTCGCAGCGGCTCCTGAATTTTGCATCAATAGTAGAGTTTCTCAATTAAATTTGTGCTAATTTGCAAGACCTGTGTAAATAAGACAGTGACCTTAAATAATTCGAAAACCTAGTTTTTAATCACCAAGTTAAAAGGTTGGATTCAGAAAGGTGGTCGGGTTTCTGGATTAAAATTTTGTTGACATATAGGTCTATTAGACCTTAGGTTGGCATTTTAAGGATTTAAAAATAAATAAAGAATGTAAGTATTAAACTTAAAATAATTAATATTTTTTAATTTCTGGATTTAATTTCCAGTTAAATTATATCAATGATTTCGTAGGTAAATTAAAATACGTGAAGAAAATTAACATTTATTAATCAAGTATTTCGGTTATGTAACAATCATTGAACAGTTCATTGATATCTTGCGTAATTCTATCAGAAAATGATTTTTTTCTCTTGGGAAATACGCGAGGCCGGGCATTTTTCGTGTCTGCTACGTGCAACGCGGTGATGTTGCAACGTGTCGTGAAATATTAATAAATAAATCTGAAGGAATCGGCTCGGAGATCGCTTATCGCTTTTTAGCGATACTCAGTACCGGGTTTAAGTCTAAATAAACGAATACTTTTTCATTCACTTAATTAACAAATAATTTAGATAAATATTATTATTAATCTGTTGGAAAGTCTCACAGTTCAATAATAGTTACTAGGGTTCCCACTAAACCTGGAAATTCTGGAAGTCATGGATTTTGGTTAAAAATGACCAAAAGTCAGGATTTTCACTAAAGAGTCTTGATTTTTGTTACAAATAATATTTTTACTACTCATTTTTATCTGTAGTTGTTTTCGATAAAATTTTTGAACCTATTTTCTGAACCCACTTCAATGGGAGATTTTTACTTTTTACTCCCTCCATTACCATTTATGCGCCGGAGTTGATTTTTTCCGTATCGATTTAATACGATCAATAGGAGGTAGTTAAAAAATATAGGCCTCGCTCCTATTGGTCGTATTAAATGGACGCGGGAAAAATCATCAATTCTGGCGCACAAATGGTATAGTAGATATCTAACTGTCAGTCTTAAAAATGTAAACACCCATTAATGCCAACTAAATTTGCTTTTTCTTCTACAATATGCTCAGATGTGGAACCGTTTTTAATTTCAAAGCAATGAGCCTGTGGCCCCTTTTCTTTTCAATAAGCTTTATATATTATTGAACTGTTTGCTACAAAAATTTATTAAAATAAAGGCTATTCATCGGAATTTTAAAAGTAAAGATATTCTTTTAGCATATTAATTTTGGCTTCAGAGCTAGTAAATTGTTGAACGAAGTAAAGGTTCCTGAAAAGGAAAAATTGCTTTTTCTTCAGGAATGCCAAAAGTTCCTAATTGAATCGGTTTCTAAATTACTTGAACGGTGTGGACTTAATCATAGAATGGTAAAAGGATTATCTTGCCTGGATCCCAATATTATTTCATCAAGTAAAACAATCGCCGAAAAAAGAATGCAAACTTGTTTGGAAACGATAAAAACATAATCAGTTGTGAAATTGCGGAAAACTCCAAGAAATAATTTAACGCAATGATAAGTTTAAAGAAGGATCTTTTTAAATCCTACATAAAGCAAAGGCTAGACCATTTTTATGAAAACCGGTGCCGAGCAAATAATGAAGATCTTTTAAAAGTAATAAGAATTTTATTAATATTTTCTAATGGAAATGCTGCAGTCGAATCGGGTTTTTCCTTAACAAGCAAATGCTAATCGAAAATTTAAAAGATCATTCGCTAATTGCCCAAAGAACTATTTTTGATAATATTGTCCTTTGTCGTGGTGCTGAAAACATCATTGGAACAGAAGATATGATCAAACACTATAAACAGGCGAATAAAAAATATAAAGAGTATTTGGAGAAACAGAAGACAGAAAGGGAGAAAAATGCTAGACAAGGTGAAAAGAGAAAGATAGAAATGGAAATAAAGGAGTTGAACTTTAAAAACTTAAATTAGATCTAATGAAGAAAACGGAATTGAAGTCAATTGAAACAAGAATCAAAATTTTGAAAAAAAATTATAAATAAGATTTAGCAGAGACTGTTTTATGCTGTGTTTTTTTGTTTTTATTAGAATTTTTATTTTGTTTATTTTAATAAAAAAATCTTTATCAATATGGTTCAGTTCCCCCCCTCCTTGTCAATTTCGTTGGTCATGGAAAAAAATATTTACTGGTTATGGAAGTCATGGAAAAAATGACCGAGTTTTGTAATGGACGAGTGCGAAAAAAAATTGTCTTGAGACATTAGTTCTTTATGCTATTTTTTATATTTGTCAAAATTTTGGGAAAAATTCGAATTATAAATTATATTTGCATGTCGTACTGTTGCCACGTATCGTACTGCCATGGAGACAATACGAAACGCAAAAAATTCTATTCCTTTTTTTGACTTATGATATCGAAAAATTGGTTGCTGGGCACCTTAAAAGAAGCCTATTTACGTATGAGCTCCTACTATTAAGAGTAAGATCCTCATTGCAATTTTCCATTTTTACATTATTTCGATGAAAAACATTTTGTATCTTACTAACAAATGAAGCCAAATAAACATTTTGATATCTTAAGTCGAAATTTAAAGTTTTGGAAAAAAAATATTTTTTATTAAAATTTTATAACTCGCAGAATAGTTAGGATTTTGAAATGAGTAGTACATATTTTGGTTAAAAATGAACTGATCTGCAAAAAGGTTTCTTTAGTTCTTTTTTGATAAATGTAAGCGTTTCATTCAATTCAATTTATACTTTAACTTTTAATGTTTGTCGATTTTTGAACTATCTTTATTAATTTGTGTTCTTATTAATTAATTTAATTAATTAATTTAAATAAGCTTTTAACTATTTCATATATTTTTATATATTTTTTTTTCAAACTTTCACATAAAATGTCTTTTGAATGGATAGGTTTACGAAAAAAACATTTTGTAGAGCATTGCATTCCTTATTAAAATATGTATTGTGCTTACATTTATTTATTAGTGAGATTTTTTTCATCGGACTAATGTGAATATGGAAAATTGCAATGAGGAGAATCTTACTCTTAATACGTAAATAGGCTTCTTTCACCAAACAATTTTATCATAAATAAAAAAGAATAGATTTTTTGAAACACCCTAATATATCTACTATATTATATGCCTAAAGTTTGATTTGAAGAATAACTTCTTGGTTAAATAAATTATACCAATGTTAATATAGGTTTATTATAAAAAGGAAGCATAATGCATAAAATAATATAAACAATAGAGAATAATAGCAACTTAAAATAAAAAGGCGCCCATTGCTTTGCCAAAGCCGGCCCTGTCCATACTATTTTCAGCTTAATAATAGTTTTAACGGCGTTCACTTCGCGCAAAAATTTATTTATGTATTAGGTGAAGTGAAAGGGCTACAAAGACGTCTTGGCAAAAGTAATTTTATTTTATTACGACAAACTGGTTTACTGTCCGAAAGGTCTTTTATTTTTGTCTCGCAAAGTTCGTGTTGTCACACGAATACATCAAAAGAATGTGTATAGCGTTGTGTAAGCAAATCTTGAAAAACAAATTTCTTACCTTTATTTTTATCAATAAAAAAAACTAAAGCAATGTTTTATTACAAAGTAAGATTAATCCAACACTTGTCTTTCATATGCAATTTTTTATCTTGGTTTTTCAAATTAAATAAAGTTTTCGAAAATATTTCATATTGCTTCTTGCAAATTTTAAAGTACAGTAAAATTATTTATTCTATTAAATTTCATTAAAAATGTTGTTAAAGGAACATTTTATTTGCTTACACTACCGGTTTATCAATGCAGTATCCACGGATACCACTGTTCTCACAACGATCGATTTGAAATTTAATGTCAGATAGACCAACTGGAACTTAACCAGAGATTGACAAACCGGCCCTAAGAAAAAAAAATAATATTAATAAACCAAGTTCTGATTTTTCAAAAATATTCTATTAGAACATTCTTTAATAGTGAACAAATTATATATTAATTATAACATGTGTTTCAGATAAATAATGAGTAAAGTCGAAAAAGTGATTTTAAGACAAAAAGTTCATATAAAGATGGGTACGCAAATGCTTTGTTTTCAAGATAAACTTTGCTTTAAATTGGTTTTTCGTAAATGTCTTAATTATCCTTACCCAATTCTGTTATAATTTAGCAGTGTTATTTGTAGGGGCTAATTTAGCTTTAATTTAAATTAAACTAATAAGCCCAAAAATGTGTACCTCTGAGTTTTTTGTAATTTTTATATTTTTTTGGATTATAAGCAACAAAAAATACAACCTTTTGTCTCCTAAATTTTGTTGATATTTTGCTTACCTACTTTTCGAAACAAAAACTTAATTGCCTATCTTGTGTGGTCCAGAGATATGTAATTAAGTGGATTTTATTATTTTCTTAAAAACTAAACAAAATGCAGAAGACAAAAAATATGTATTTTTGCTTGATTAATTCCAAAAAAATATTTATAAATAACAAAAAGTCTGTGGCGGGCATTTTTTGTCAAAAATATTCGTTAAGGTGCTGCTCGGGACTTAAATGTAATTTAACATTCAATTTTCTTAGTTTCTTTAAGAAACTTTCTTGGACCTCGCCAAAAACTTTGCGTAACAAAAAGTCTGTGGCGGGCATTTTTTGTCAAAAATATTCGTTAAGGTGCTGCTCGGGACTTAAATGTAATTTAACATTCAATTTTCTTAGTTTCTTTAAGAAACTTTCTTGGACCTCGCCAAAAACTTTGCGTTGCCCGACACTGATGAGACCCAATAAAGGTCGAAACAGCTGTCTGTCGGTATTTGAAGTTGGTGGAACGCATTCAAAACAAAAAACTTTGGCGATGTGTAGGTTCAATTTTTTCTTATGAATATTACCAGTGATGGGTTTCTTAAAGAAACTAAGAAAATTGAATGTTTACCTTAAAGTTTAGCCCGGTTGGGTTAATTCTAGATTCCTTTAGGCCATATTAGTATCTGTGATACAATTGCTGTGTGCAGTCCCGGTTGCATAGTATGTACCGTCGTTTGACGGTGTGGATCACCTGATGTTCTAACATCTCGCCTCTGTTGACTTATCAACTGAGCATATAGGCTCAGGGAGTAATTTGTTTTGATTGTGTTCCACCACACCAAGTTGCCCGACACTGATGAGACCCAATAAAGGTCGAAACAGCTGTCTATCGGTATTTGAAGTTGGTGGAACGCATTCAAAACAAAAAACTTTGTCGAGGTGTAGGTTCAATTTTTTCTTACAAAATAATAATAATAAAATAGGTACTTAATTATTTTAATTCTAAAAAGTGTAATAAATGTTGGGCCAATACAGTATTCTGGATACTTCGCTTGTAAAACGTGTTAATCAACAGGCAACCTTTTTAGTTCGTAAATGGCAATTGTTGCCACCACAAAGGACAATAAAAATAATAACACCTCGGTCGCGATCGGTCGGTATTGCAAATAACTTAATAAGAGCTTTACTTTTACAACTGCTCACTTACAAAATAATTATTTCCCACAGAAACAACAACTGATTGTTCCTTGACATTTAATCGAGTCTAAAAGTTTAAAATCGCGTTTTGCATACATTTTGCTTTCACTTATCTGTCTACAATATCTGCGGTTTTTTTTTTTGGCGAAGCAATTTATTTTTTATGAAATTATAGTTTTTATTAATACATGTTTTTGTTTTGTTTTATAGGTAAGCCCCACAATGAAATTGTTTATAAAGAAAATGTTGCAATGAGTAAGTACCTAATAAACTTCAAAATACCATAAAGTTATTAAAATTACATTTTTCTTCAATTAAAAATCTGGGTAATTCGGGATTTTTTGAATCCCGGGATTTTAATAATAATAATAAATAATCATTTTTTAAAAACTGGTTAAAATAAAAAATATCTTTTTTTAAATTAAATGAAAAACTAAAATTGTAAAAATCATCTGCAATATATTGTAGATGATTTTAACGATTTTAGTTTTTCAATTAATTTAAAAAAAAATTATTTTAACCAAATGTAATCGACTTTCGTCCAAATTATTTTCCTCTTAATTGTCTGATTAAAATTAAATGCGGGCTTGGGTCATTCACTTGTAGTAGTATACTGCTTTGACACAGTGTAGGGTTTTTATACTTTCTAAATAATCTAATTACACGTTTTTTGTTTGTATAAGTTTACAAATTTAAATTAGGTAACATAATCCACGGAAAGTGTATAGAATCTGTGAACGAGGAAATTGCACTGCATCCTGCTTATTCATGTTACACTTTGCAAAATCAAACACTTTAATCTTAAACTGTGGTGGTAGTGTTGGGAAACAAATTTGGCCGAAAAAAAGTTGGGATTTAACTCCCTTCGACTTATTTTACTGTTTTTTCATGTGTGGTACATGCGAATAATACTAAAAGAGATTCAACAATAATTATTTAAAAAATAAATCAAACGCAAAATTTCAGTTTTGGTCACAAAACCTCTTCAGTAATTTTGTTTTTTATTTTGGGAAATATTAAGGGTGCGTTTCGCGAAATGTTACAAGAAAAAGTTGTTGTTTTTTATACGCATATTAAAATATATAATAATAAAATTCGCTGTGATACACCCTATATAGCAGTAGTTCCCAAAATTGGGGGCGCGCCTGTGAGATTACAGAACAAAATCTGTTTCTAAATGTAAATTTAATTTTAAGAGCAATAAAAATTTATTTCTTGACAAAATACGAGAATTGTTAAATTTCGCGGGTTCGGAGGGTCCGGAGGGTCCGGTTGTCATAACATTTTCTTTATTATGTTGGTATACATGCCCCCGAAGTATGATAAAAACTTTAGTATTTTATGAGCTCGGCGATTTTCGTTCGCTAAAAGAAATGGATCAAAGAATTTGCATCCAATTTTGCTTAAAAAATGAAATAAATTCTGTGAAATGTTAACAAAGGCCTATAGTGAGTCTGCTATAAGTAAAACAAGAGTT